GTAAATCAAGCCGACAACTCATCTGCGACAACGTAAGCAAGTTGTGTGCTTGATTTACATGCAGTACAACCATTGAACTATATAATAAACTGGAAGGCTAACTGCTATGATGAAGGCCTATGATTTGATGAAGCCAAAATAGTTTTTCTGAGTTATGAGCAGAAATACTTGACCCCAAACGTCGGGCTATATATCAAATCGAAGCTATTGAAAATTGCTATTCGGTGTGGAAATTTCAAGACTTCAGCGAAAAGAAAAATCTTTAAAAAATACAAAAACAACTGCAAAACGGCAAATTATCGGTAATTATGTTTGTAGTTTTTCAATATTTCCCTTTTAGCTAAAGTCTTGAAATTTCTACACCAAATAGTGTTTTTCAATAGCTTCAATTTGATATATAGTCCAATGTTCAGTGTTGAGTATTTCTGCTCATAACTCAGAAAAACTAAAATGCACTGGCTTCAATTCCCCCCCCCCTGAGTTAGCCTTCCAGTTTATTTATAGTTCAATGAGTACAACTCAAATTGTAAGCAAGTTGCATGCGACAGTTTTAGGTAAAAGTCGCCTAGTGTAAAAGTCTGCTGTTATACGGGACTTCGGCGAAGTGGTTAGCGCGCTCGCCTTGCACCTCTAAGGTCGCAGGTTCAAGACTCGAACCCAGTCCTCATGTGAAAAGAGTAAAAAGTCAACCTCTACCGAAAGTCATGGGTTTTCTCCTGGTACTCCGGTCCCTGCACAGGGAAAGTTGACAGGGTGGGTTAGGTAAAAGGGCCCACAGTAATTGGCATATGCTGTTGTGGTGACCCTGCCCTAGTTGACTAATCTAATAAATTAAAAATACAGAAGTGGTCCGCTGAGGTGGTATAATATGAATTTCAAAATTCCAAGAAGGGAAGTTTATGAGAATTTCCACGAGGGTGGTGGTTCATTTGGTAAATAGGCCTACATAGTTCGTCATATTCATATGACGCGTGAGACGACGAGATCAATGTTGTAGACCCGGTGTCTCGCGAGAGATTTAAGAAGGATTAAGCACAAAGAATACAGGAGTCTTGAACAGATTAGCAGCATGTTGCTATCTTTGAACAGAAAATATATATCATTTAGCCTTTTATTAGCAACAAGGACAATTGAATATAAATAAACTACAGGATTAACTTTTAATATAGGTTCCTACAAGAAGAAAAGATCATCTGTAGTTTCTACCACAGTGCTCGAAAGGACATTAGTACTGCCGAAGATTATATGATGTTTAAACGACATTTATACGAAAACAGGATTCGTAATGGTTCATATAGTTGTTGCATTAACCTTCGTTAAGTCTTCAAATCAAATAAATTAGTTCACAGATGATAAATTACCGTAGAAAACTTGGCTGTATTTTAAGATTGCCATGTTGACACAAGTATTAAATTATGTACTATAGACTGCTTATCACTTTCTAATTCTCAAATGATGTTTTGTTTTTAAATCCTTTAAAGTGGGCGTTGAAATCTAGCATTTGTTACTCTAGTTATTAATAAGAAGTCATTAAAGGATTTGCAGCTTAGACGAGAGTTCGTCATTAAAAAACAATAATGTTCACTTAACACATTTGTGTATTTTTGTACATATCTGTGTAAACCCGACACAAACCGCCTAATCAATTTCTTGTCTATTGCACTCTAAACATCTCATCAACTTTCCACTTGAGAAGAAGAGTCTTTCAGCCATGTATACATAAAATTATTTCATCTTCTTTTTTTTGAGAATATTGCCATTGTGTCAATGTCACGGCAAATATAAAAGACTAATGATGAGGCTTTTGTTTACCAGTTGTTTAATCATTTGAGGGATGCGTGTGCGAACCAGTTAAACAACACAAGTGATATTATTTAGTTTAAACTTACCAAGTCAGCCAGGCAAGCCACCTCCACACTCTACTCTTATCATTGCTCCCTGGAGTTGTTGAAACCTATACAGAAATAAACAGGTAATTAAATTAGTAAAATATATTACGCCATTACTGGGGATATAGAATTATTAAACTGTATATTGACATGGAATAAAAGTTTTACATGTTAGTCACAAGAGGCTGCACATGCATATATAAAAGATCAAGGCTAAATTAATTGTCTTACATGACATGTTAAGATATCTTCTATACGAGTATATATTGCCAGGCTTATCATATCCTTATAGCTCACTGTAGAATTCATACTCTATTCATGGTTTGTATAATGTCTTTTTATACTACAACAATTGTGTGGAAACAGGCGTATTGTTCTTTTAAATATAATTATTTTTGTACAACTATTTTGAAATAAGCAATAGCTCAGATAAAAGTTGGCAAAGGTTTATCCTTAAACTGGAGTTAACTTTCAAGCACAGTATATAATGGCGTTTTCAAACAGATAATGAAATTGTGACTGGTTCTCTGTGTATCTATATACATATATGTTCAGTATTAGATTTTTTTGAGACATTTAAGGCTTTCGCTTTTTCTTTTAATATCATAAAAGACATTTATTTCACACCACAAAGGATGAATTAATCAAATTTGTACGATTTTTGAGGTTCATATATGCATCGCATAAAAATGGACGAACCAACTGGATTTCTGCGTGAAGAATGACAGGCAGTGATTTGTACAATTCTTCAACCTGAAATATTTCATTTAAAACGATCTATAGTCCTCAGATAATAAAATCGTTGCTATGCTGTGGTCAAAATATTTTTTTCTAATTATATATCGGAATTAACATGATTTACGATTTCAAAGCACATGCATGTTACCCTGGCACTAGATATGCTCTGCACTCATTTTAAACGACATAGTCTATTTGTATGCTGTGCATGCATGTGTACATATAAACCAAATCTGTGACTGTACAAAATGCTTTGGCTGACAAATTTGTGACTGAACAAAATGCTTTACTATTAATGAAAAGTTCGAGATGTCACACAACCAGGAATCTGTATAAAACGAATTCCAGGAATGAGTTATTACAGAATGATTGACGATTATTTAATAACCTGGAATGAACAACGAAACTCTTAATTGGTAAGAAGTCTTATTCGATATTTTATAAGTTTTTTAAAACTGCTGCTGCTTCCAGTTAGATCTTAACAGACTATACTGAGGGCGTTTTCCATTTAAAGGCCTGGCCGATCAGACCCGAATGTTTGTCTCTGTATCAATGGAAAGATCTGGTCTGGACCTCATTCTAATTTTATCTAAATGTTCCGGTCAGATAGGTCCGAAGCCTAAACGTTTTGTGTGCCAATCAACAATTTGACAGGTCTGGTCGTGTTAATGGAAAACCATCTAGCTACAAAAATCCATAAACATCAAGATAGCTTACTCATAAAGCAGTCCACAGACTACCTGTATAAACTTACATGCTAAAAATCACGAGCGAGTGTTGTATATAAAGATCTCATCAGAGATCAATGGGTGAAGAAGACTGCTCTTCGTTCCTCGGTTATCATTAGAGGGAGTTTAAGCTTCGCGTTCAAACGTCAAATGGCAAACGCTAGGGAAAGAAAAAATTCATGCTACAAGGTAATAAATGGCAAATCAACTTGCTATTATTAAGACTGTAATGTATGATGATTCTTTTGAGATAAGAACGAGAAGATGAAGCGAAGAAGTTAAGTAAAAATCCTGCCAACAAAATTCGACTGTGCCATTTACCGTTCTCGCAAATGTGAAGCTTAAACTCCCTAGTAGGGAGTTAAACTGCCTCGTTACCGGAACGTGGAAGGCCGTGATTTGTAGAAACCGCGCGTGTACGGACAGGTTTGATTTTTAGGGGTTTTTTTAAACTCACTTATAAATTGTAGATTTACAGTTTTAAGCCTGGTTTCCATATGGTCGTAACGGTCGTAAAGATTGAGTCATGATCTTTCTCATCAGCCGAAATACAACATTTTAGAACTGAAAATACGCGGAGTGATTATAACTAGAGCATACTTATATGATCTATATGTGGTTTACAGGTATAAACTATTATAAATTGGCCGTTGAGAAAGATCGTGACTCTATTTTTACGATCATTACAGCCATATGGAAATCAGGCTTTGTTGATAATTGAAGGCAAGTTATTGATCTATTGAAAAACTTTCTATCAATATATATATACACTTTACAAAGCATGATCATAAGATACAAGAACACGCCTAACGTGTTACAACGGAATCAAAATAACATGGCTGACGTGTCGACACCTGGCTGGAGTGAGTCAACTAATGAACAAGTTGTTTGTATTGGGCATTAGTTCATTATTGCTCACTTCAGGCTGAGTTCACGTATAATACAGGTGTCTAAACATTTCGCAGACAAAAACGATACTCTGAAACCAGGGTTCGAAGTATAGAGAAAAATATGGCCAGCCAGTCGAACATTTTTTGGCAGGTGAAATGAATTTTAACCAGTGCCATTTTTATTCATCGAACTTCCAAAATGGCGATATCTCATATGAGTGATATTGTAAACTGAATCAATGTTTTCATGATATGCATTTTTATAATTATTTTTTAAACTTGTCTATTTTACTTCTGTAAACTTGGATTTACATTTCAAATATAAACACATTTATAGTCAACTAAATGATCTAGTAGTATATACGAGTTGTGGTCAGCAAATGAAATGAAATATATCTATAGAATTTCACCTGCCATTTTTTTTTACTTAATATAATTGGCAATTCAAATTTGTTTTTGCTTCCCATTTTTAAAATACGGCCTGCTTTTGGCCATTCCTGTCTGAAACAAAACGAAATCCAAAGATCGCCTCTTGGCAACACAAGATGCGATATTGTTCGTACATTGTTATCTATACTACTTGGCTGAAAAAGTGAAATATAAATTATGACTTCGTAAAAGAGAACGGAGACTATTTTTGCAGGAAAATATATCATGACCATTAACTATACTACAATACTGGCTCCAAAATGTTTCTTCCTACGCACAACATATAGTTTAGTGTTTTTGGTCCGTCGACAAATTCCCATTGCTAATTTCGTACATTTGGTCAGCTGAGGCTACAGAGAATTGATTTTCATGAAATGTAAACTTTGGAGTTAATCATTTTATAATTAACCCCCAACAGCTGTGCCATGAGGCACTCCTGACAATAAAGATTTTGTTCTTGGCCGTTGCATGATATTATTGTTCTCAAGTTTAGATCAATAGACAACGTTTCTAGCACATTCAAACCAGTGCCATTTTTATTCATTGAACTTTCAAAATGGCGATGTCTCATATGAGTGATATTGTAAAAATCAATGTTTTCATGATATGCATTTTTATAATTATTTTTTAAACTTGTCTATTTTACTTCTGTAAACTTGGATTTACATTTCAAATATAAACACATTTATAGTCAACTAAATGATCTAGGATATATGAGTCGTGGTCAGCAAATGCAATGAAATATATCTATAGAATTTCACCGGACATTTTTTTTAACTTAATATAACTGGCAATTCAAATTTGGTTTTGCTTCCCATTTTTAAAATACGGCCTCATGCTTTTGGCCATTCCTGTCTGAAACAAAACAAAATCCAAAGATTGCTTCTTGCCAACACAAGATGCGATATTGTTCGTAAATTGTTATCTATACTACTTGGCTGAAAAAGTGAAATATAAATTATGACTTCGTAAAAGATAACGGAGACTATTTTTGCAGGAAAATCTATCATGACCATTAACTATTACAATACTGGCTCCAAAACGTTTCTTCCTATACGCACAACACAGTTTAGTGTTTTTGATTCGTCGACAAATTCCCATTGCTAATTTCGTACATTTGGTCAGCTGAGGCTACAGAGAATTGATTTTCATGAAATGTAAACTTTGGAGTTAATCATTTTATAATTAACCCCCAACAGCTGTGCCATGAAACACTCCTGACAATAAAGATTTTGTTCTTGGCCGTTGCATGATATTATTGTTGTCAAGTTTAGACCAATAGACAACGTTTCTAGCACATTCTTTGACCAGTGTGTTCGGAGGTTCAGAGTTTGTTACGAATAAAGCAGACGTTCCAACTTGATATCTCCAAAAATCGGGAGGTCTGGTAAAGGCAAGAAAACGTTGACCTCTAGTATGACTGGGTAGAAAATTTAGAAAATTTAAACTTTTTTTCAGAAGCGCCATTTCTTGATTCCGAGACTCGTGAATACAACAACTGTAAATTTCCGCTTTTCATGCGAAATATTACGAAACTTCGTCGTACAAAACACCCCTCTTGGCGAAATATCGCTTTTTTGTCGATCCGACAACCGTTTTTACCGTACGCGAACGGCTTTTACAAGGATTCTTTTAGAAAAAGTAACATTTTTTCTTTTCATTCGTAAAATCGGGAGGTTTAAATATAAATCCGGAGATTTGCCAAGAAATCGGGAGCCTCCCGATCAAATCGGGAGGGTTGGAACCTTTGTCAGAATAGCCTTTCTAATTTGACAACATTTTCGTTGGTAAGAATACAAAGAGAAATTGTATTTTTCAGGTACTTGCATTCCGACCAACCAAACGTTTTGTTAACAAATAACAAATTTGAACCATAGATATCTTATATACACTAGATAGCGCATCTCTTTTAGTAAAATTGAAGCCAAGAATATTCCAGCCGTTACCCCCATTTGAATAGATGGCGGCCATGTTGAAGTTTCCCACTCGCTAATATACAAATAATGAATGTTTATGAGTGCAATGGTAAGAATATTTTCATGAGGTGAAAGATGGAATGTTCCATTCAACGAGGCGACAGCCGAGTTGAATGGAACATTCCATCTTTCACCGAATGAAAATATTCTTACCATTGCACGAAGAAACATTCATTATTTGTTTTATATAATACCAAAAGTCCAGAACAGACTAATAGATTCGTATGAGAAGCATTTTGAGGGATGCGATTTATCGAAAACACAAAGAGTGCAATTGTACTATACGTTTTATTCCATTGCACTCGCGGAGAGTGCAATGGAACGTGTTCCATTGCACTCTTGGGAAAGGGAATTTTCTATTCAATATCACGTGACCATAAACAGCCAATTAAACGATTAGAATTTAATAAGGTATTATATAATAACGCTTAAAAAACAACAATAACTTTCATCCTTTGAATAGTTTGAAAATGTATTTGGAATAGGTTTAACTTAATGTTTAAGTTCCGTGTTTAAGAAATAGAAAACATACGAGTCTTCTCATTTCATGGGAATATCCTGAGTCTGCAATCACGGCTTCAATTTTTGAACTGCGGAATAATTAGATGCACTATCTAGTGTATATAAGATCAGCTATGATTTGAACTGCCCAAGTAAAAAAATGGCAGGTGAAATGCTATGATATATTTCATTTCATTTTAGTGCTTACCATAACTCATATATACTAGATCAATTTAGTTGACTAAATACATAGTAAAATAGACAAGTTTAAAAACAATAAAAATGCATATCATGAAAACATTGATTTTTACAATATGACTCATATGAGACATCGCCATTTTGGCAGTTCAATGAATAAAAATGGCAGGCTAAAATTTATTTCACCTGCCAAACAAATTTTACACTAGCAGGCCATATTTTTTCTCTACTTCCAGCCCTGACACAGTCCATCCCTAATTTGATCACCATCCAAAGCCCCCCTATTTAATGATGTATGGCAGTTGAAATGTTTCATTGCTTACCATGCAGAGTATTCATTTCTTCTAGCCGTTCTCACAAAGCTACAATGACGTCATCAGTGCCAAGTGACGAGTTAGGTGAGAAAATCAAACGACCAATGAACGCCTTCATATTGTGGTCACGTGAGCGACGTCGTGAACTGGCCAATGAAGATCCAAATATGCATAATTTTGAAATCAGCAAACGACTCGGTATCGAGTGGAATCGCCTGGATGCGAAAGAGAAGAAACATTTTTACGATGAAGCTCAGAAACTCAAGGAAGAACATCGGAAAAATTATCCCGACTATAAATACCATCCGAGACGAAAACCCCGGCGGAGATTTAGCCCCATCAACCCCTCCCCCCAATACAGAATGGCATACTACCTCCCCCCTGAATGCGTAGAGAAAGGATACCCCTACCAGCCGGGTTATCCAGCATATCCCAGACATCACTGGTTTACCAATACCATGCTACCCAGCATTCCTACCCCGGATACGCCATTTCTGCATGACATGAGATATTACACACAACCCCATCTGGTCATGAATGGAGGTGTACCCGCAGCGTATTATGGTATACATGATATCCCTTCATCCCTCCCACAGCAACGAGAGGCGACAATTGAAAGTAAAGAATGTCCAATGGAGATGTTATCTCGTTTCACGCCTAGTGGTTTAATAAAACGTGAAGAATTATTACGCCGTGCTGCGGAGAGTAGTTTGGAATTTAAAACTGGCAAAACTTCTGAGGAGGAAACGAGCAAACATTCGGGATATCATCGTCACATGTCGTCAGCACACGTATGTCTCGGTTGTCAGGGGGGTGTATCTACGTTTTATCAAGGAATCCGTTCATCCACCGTTGCGAGTTCTTAATTAAACTGAAGCAACCATCAGTGAATTAGAATTGAAAAGTTCTAAGATTTTTAAGAACTAAAGATTCTCAAACAAACTATAAACACTGTTGCAATTTATTCAAATCTCAGTAGAGCTATTTAGCAAAATTACGAAATATTCAATAATAAAAATAAATATAATCGTTACATATTATTTTGGTCAATGTTGTGTGATATATACTAGGGTCAGATTTTGGTTTGAACTATACTACATTAAGAACCTTTGTTTTTCAGCAAAGATCATTTGTTAGAAAGTAGCCACGTTCTCCCCAACAAAGACCTTTGCTTGAAACTTGAAGGCGTCTTTAATATTTCTTCGGTTAGATATAAACATTTAACTTTCTTATTATATAGCCATTTAACTACACTGAATCTCCACATTTGAGATATCTTTTTCAGGTAGTTCAGACTATCGAACCTTGCTTAGTGTGACCGTTCAACCACGAAAGCTTAGTGTGAAATACTACCTTCACTAGACAACCACGTTTCGGAGATACCGTTAGAAATTTCTATTAGGAAATTTGAGCTTGCGTGACAGGGCTGACAGGGTGTGACGAAAACTTTAATCATTGTCTTAATCTGCCATCTATTAACTCTTATCCGTTGGCAATTACAGCAGTTTAATGTGAAGTGCTTTCTTAAGGACTCGACTATACGTGATGTCTTATGGCTCACTAAACATTCTGGAACGTTACTGTCATGTCATTACACTGAACATCTCACATTAAATATCTTGGATTTTTCAAACAATCATCAGTTTTGAAGCTTGACGGTAGCTTATTCAGTCTGAATATACAGGTATTAATCTAATTATTATTGTTAAGAGATGAAACACATCCGTGAATACCAAACGTCTGTTACGTGGACTCGTTGGTTCGAGAATATCTCTAGATATTGAAATATCATTGTTCAATGTATTTTATATTGTTTATCAAGTTTCGTCCATGCACCGCTAAATATCTCCCTTGAAGCTTCAAAAACACAATCAAATTGTCGTATAATAACATGTTGTTTTTCTCTCAACATTTCAAAAACTTCCGTATTATATAGCCATCTAAACGAAGGGAAAGGTCATGGAAATTTTCTGCATTTTTCAGATAGTAGTTTAAAGCAAGCTGTGAGTATCGCCACCTCCATTGCTTACCCAACGCTGATACACATGATGATGAGTTTATCACCGTGTTTTTACTGTAAAAAATTAGGTAAGCCGCTTGTAAGAAGTGCAGGTCTCGAATTTAAAAGCGGCGGCCTTAAACCATCGATACCCTGGCTTGTTGGCCGCCATGCTCTCATATAATATACTCCATGAAATTCACAGATATTGCCTTTCTTATAATCCCACAATATTCCAATAATTAAAATTTCCAATTTCATGATTATTTGACTCAAAATAGAATGCTATATTAATGTTCATAAAATATAATCAGAAAACACATCTGAGGATAATTTGCATGTTTTAATTTACGCCACGAAATGAACAGTTTCCATTCGTTCAAATAGTGCATATAATTAGAAAGCCAGCCGGCGTCTGTTCATCGGGCAGGTGTATATATATACAGTTCAAAAGCTTTCTGTTTGTATGTATTTGGACAAAGACTAAAGAATCTTTTTTATTTTGACAAACAATCAGTGGTAAGTAGTTGTTACAATCACTTCAAATTATAAATGTAAACATTATCATTTGCTGGTGTCTGCGTTTGATGCAATTACCTCAGAAACTGAAAAGCGATGTTTCGGAACCGTCGTTTTCAGTCACGACGTATAGAGAGAGGTAAACATTTATAAAGAAGAGTTACATTCACTCCGCTAAAACATATTTCCTTAGCCTCTATAATCATGATACTTCGGTTATTTTGCAATTTGCAGCTTATTTTCTGTAAGTTATATATGCCGTTCTACGTGCGACTGTATCAATATGAACTATAGCAATCTATTAAGGTAATCTTCATCGAAACGGCGCGGTCTCTGTAATTCTACCACGTCCTTTGCGTGCTTCGGAATACATGACCACCAAGAGCGAGGGGACAAGCAAGGGGACATTTTCCCCCGGGTCTCCAGCCCAAAAGGGGCCCCCAAAGCAACGAAGGCCCTTGATCTACAAGATCGCTTGACTGAGAATATAAATCTTAGTTGCGTTAGTGCCGAATAGTGTCCTGTAAAACACCGCTTCTCCCATTTTACAATTATGACGCCATAGTGGCCTTCTGGGAACGTTTTGCCCCAGGCTCCGCGCAACTTCTCTGACACTGAACAGGGTGAAAAAAAATTGAATACGTGGTGAATATACACGCGAAAATCCAGTGAATGAAATTTAGTGCTGTTCCCAGCCATGTACAAATCATTCTCTCTTACAGTACTTAAACTAATTTTACTGCAATTTTAAACGACAATTTACCCTGCAGAGGTAATCTTGTGTTGGTGAGACATGCCGGAATGCAGAGGCCATCTTGTGTTGGTGAGACATGCCAGATTTACAAAAATTCAAACTATGGCGTGTTAAAAAGAAAAAAATAATCAAAATGTGATATACGTTGACCTTTTAACTTAAATCATTTACGGCAGAAATTTCGAGTCTTCCTTTCACTAATTTATATCTCATTAAGTGTTGACAGCGGGAATATAGAAATATGGGATCAAAGAATTTCATAAGTCCTGTCAGCCCTCGTTAATCCAGAGTTCACGAGAGCTGCATGGTGGCAGACAGCAAACTGGAGGGGAGAGCTAGTTGCAATCCTATCAAAACTCTCCTCGTTTCATGGGACTACATAAGTTACCAATATTTCACCGTCTTACGCCCGTATTTTAAAAGCTCACTCACACTCAATGAGTGGAAGTTCAACCTGAGCTTCTCTCGAGTGTCAGTGATGTTTTTGAATGGCTGGAGGGTTAGTGTGGTACCTTACTATGTGACTACTCACCCTCCAGCTATTCAAAAACTGCATTGACACTCAAGAAAAGCTCAAATTGAACCTCCACTCATTGAGTGTGAGTGAGCTTTTGGAATATGGGCGTTAGTCTCAATGTAGTCTGTAGAAACATTAATACCAAGAACTCGACTACTTTTCTATCGCGAGAACATCAGTCATTGTCAGATTTCTGTGTGTGTTGGCGTTATGTACTCAAGTGAATATGATGTTTGTGATGTTACTCTGTGAGCGCGCATCCACACTGGGCAAGCTGAAAAGTTTGCCTGAAGAAGTACCTTCTTAATAATTCAACCTTGTCTGTGAACAATAGACTTTAATTAAAGCAGGTAATTAAGTTTTAACAGTGTCTACAGCCCAAGGTGAAATTATCGCACAATAGTGTCCAATAGATTAACCCACACCATGACAATAGAACAGCACAAAGGTCTACACATTCCAGGCATACTTTAAGTTTAATATCTTAGACGATGGTGGCCTAGTATTCAATGGTTTTGTCACTTTTGTGTCCCGAGTAGAAAGAGTAAAAAATATCAAACTTCTCTTCTTGCGAGGAAAACAGCTTTACATTCTATTAAAACGTTCTGAGAAAGTTAGAATGTCATGAAGGTCAGCTGCAGGGCATGGCCACCAGGACGAATTAAGAATTTAAGAGCTATAATTTAAAGCGCAGATTGTAGTTAAGATTGTACGACTCTCACGTTACAAACAATCACTAATTAAATGTTCTTTTATTTCGAGCAGACAGTCGGTATATGATAACAATATCTCGTCGTAGATAACGATATTTTAAGTAACATTTTATGGACAATGTTTCCAAACATGACTCTCTAAAGCGTGTGATGCGTCAGTGTTTTTCACAAAAATTGACCAGATCGCGCATTGCAATGCTATTTTAAGGGAATATATACTAAAACTGTCTGTACCAGTGTAGGCAGTACCAATGTGAAAATGCTGTGCTGAGTGGTTATATTACTACCTTAAAAAACAAGCAGAAACTCGACGTTTCGAGCGAAGGCCCTTCGTCAAGAGTTAGTGCCGAATGGCCTTCGCTCGAAACGTCGAGTTTCTGCTTGTTTTTTAAGGTAGTAATATAACCACTCAGCACAGCTATTTTAAGGGAACCTGGGTTTGATAACCTTTGTTCCTCTCGAGATAATTTACTTTCCCACGCTTGTTAATTTGCGTCATTCGCGCAAGGGTTTCATGAAAGCCGATTTTCTGTAAGCTAGGAAAACTTGCATGATTGATGGTTACTAAGCTTTTCTGGGCTTTGTGTATCAACACCATGTTTGACACGTTTTTTTACAAGCTTAAACAAACTCTAGTGTGTTAACAATGTCATTGTTCCATGGGATATTTGTCATCTGCTCGCAAGTGAAAAAATGCCGATCTACAAATCGACCCATGAAGACTTGAGGTTAATTTTGTTTACGCAGTTTATTAGCCAACTGTTTTATATCATCAAATGACATGTTTTCATACAAGTACTTTGTGCTTCGTGTAAGTAACACATGGCAAGTCTTGTAACAATAGTTGAGACACACTTGTCAAACTATAGTCAAACTTGCTCAACTGTCATTACTTTAAACTGCACTGTTAACGTCGCGAGGTCAAATCATATTGTGGCGTGTAGCAAATTCGGGAAGTATCTGTTGATGCGGTATATTTCCTCACATAGTGTGACTTATGTTAACTACCCAGCAGGATGACTGCTTTGCGGTCAATATGAAAATATTACGTATCATGTGATCACATTACAGTGCAAATTGTTGTCATGAATACTGGTTAATATCAGCCATTATCTTGCTCATTATTTCGCGCATTATTTCAGGAGAATTTTCACGATGACTACGCCGAACTTTTGATATCTGCTGGGCATAAAGTATTTCGAAACATGGGCATATCAACAAGCAATATCGTGTGTTTTGTCGTGGCAATTGGCTTCCTCGCGTTTCACACGTTTTTATTTGTCAATCTCAGTGATCAACAACAAGCATCATTAAGACGTATCGATGATCTAGAAAGACTGTTAAAAAATGCAACCACAAAGAAATCCATTGCGAAAACAATCACGTCAAATTGTCTTGAGGAACTTCAAATGAGATTAGACTCTGAACTCACAAATGCTGATGGCAATGTGAAAATGCTGCGGGTATTAAGAAAGGTACAACGTTTAGAGAAAAGGTAATATTGAGTAATTTGTACTTTCCTTCATAATCTTACGCAAATTATTCATGTTGTACGTATTTTAAACGGATGACTTTAGCGCGCGCTTTTGTTTGCGCAATTTATGTTAAACATCCGACGCGTGTTTCCTCGAAAGCAATATACAAGCAATTAAATCAAGTGCGTCCAGTTAGATGAAACACGCAGTTATTGGATTTCGATGCTAGGAAATTTGTACTCATCGTTTAGCGTAAAACGCGTTTGAGCTGAGAACTTTCAACAATGTATTTCACGTGTATGTATTATTGAAAGGTGTTTAACATGTTTGTTTTGCAAAAGGTTCATTTAACTATTGTAGTTTCAAAATATGTAAGGCACGATGAAATTCACAATGGTCTATAATTAGAATTGTCAAGCGGAAAAAACAAACTTCAGAGAGCTTAAAATGGGAGATTCTTTGTTGAAATAAAATATGTATGTTTATGTTGTAATAAGCTTGTTTACAAAAATAGTCGCAGGAATAGTCAATTTGTACCGGAAAACGACGTTAATAAGCGCATTAATTTAAACATTAGGTGCATTAGGTGCAATGCAGAATGCAATACAACGCATAATTTGGTAATTAAGCAATTGCAGTAGAACGAACAGTGGTCTGATCAAACTTTCTTTCATTATATACGTTTTCTATTTTGGGCGACATTACAGGTTTAATATTTTCTTGATGTACAGTACAAATGTATTACAAACTACTAATATATATGTTTAATTGATACAATGCTAAATATATGGCATTCTTAAGGTTTACACTATCAAAGTTTCTGTGATCACAGTAGGAATTTTGCATGGGTAAATTCTAAGTTTTGAAAGAATTGTGAGAAATCTATAAACTTTGACAGTGTGAACCAACATTTAGGACTGTAGTCACTGTACATTTGTCCAGAGATGGATCCAGCATGATCTGTCAGTGTGTACTCTCCTCTGCTGATACAGTAGTGTATCCAAGCTAACACCTTGACAATTTTACACAATTTTATTGACTAATAGGAAAGTTTGTGACCAATATATGGTCAATAGATAGCTTTTTCGGCAAGGATAGCTCAGTCAGTAGGGCAATTCCCTTACGAAAAAAGTCTATAGGTGGCCTATAGGAAATGTTCCAATTCCCTATAGAAGCCTTTAGGCATCTATAGAGCTCTATAGGATTATAGGCATCCCTATAGGTCACCTATAGAAAATGTTCCAATTGCCTATAAAAACCTATAGGTTTCCTATAGGAACCTATAGGTTGGCCTATAGGCCAGGCCTATAGACTTTTTTTGTAAGGGAAAGTTTGATTCCTTGGCACACCATCTCAGTGTATGTGTAATATGGTGCTCTGTAAAACTGGACTGTGGTAAAATGGCAGATGTGGGATGGACTCAAAAGGATGGGGATAGACTCCCCAAGGCTGATACTAACAACTTTGACCTACTTATCTAAAGTAACCAAAGGTGCATTTCCCGGGAATGCTCACTTCTTCCAAAGGAAAGTTCACATTCATTCTGGAAAGGTTGGCATCAGCAAGTTGCATACTGAAATGATTTATGGCATTTATGACTTACATCTTACGATGGTTCAGGGGAGCAATCCCCTCTCAGAAATTTGTCATGCAAAACAAAAACTGTGAATAATTTGTAGTCCCAAGGGTATTCTCAACACAACATTAAACTAAGCATTATCACATCTTTCAAGCAACATGAAAGCTTATTGCAAACCAAGAGGTGTTTCTTAAAGTCAAAATTACAGCAAACATTACATCGCTTTAGTCAAACTTAGCAGTTTGTGATGTTATTTGAAAAATCTTCAAACTTTTATTACTGAGTAATAAAATTGCTTAGCGCTCATTCTTGAGCTGAAATTCAGATTGAGTCGTTGAGCCAGCCGCGTCGTGGATCTTAAGCCCGTTCTCCACTAGGCAAATTTTTTCACGGCGAAAGACAAATCTTGGCATTGTGATTGGTCAGCAAAAAAATTCACTGCGAAAAAGTTGGATCAGTTCCTACTTTTTTACTGTTCGTGTGAACAAATTCGCCTAGTGGAGAACGGGCTTTAAGCTCTCTATTTTATTCTGTCTAATGCCAGATGATTTTACTTGTCAAGAAGAGAGCATTGCCACTCAGTGGGTTAATGGTTTATGTGTTTATCTTTGTGTAGAGTTGAAACATGTATTGTACGTTCTTTAAGAAGAAAAAGATATCAAGGTAAGTGGAAATAAATCCTGCCAGAAAAAAGTCAAATTATCTTGAAATCTTGAATGAGCATGCATAATTATAGTAGATGGTGAGTTTTCTGAAGATTAATGAAGCAATCTACTAATTTATTTCAAGATATTGTCAGCATTTGTTTTGTTTTATGGGTAAAAGACTAAAAGGCAATCTGAAAACCTTAAAACAATACAACAAGACCGAATTTGTCAATTTATATTTTAACTATGTCAAAGCAAACAAACAATGCATTTGATTGGCTTCTTTTACTTCAGGGACCAATTACAGACTTTGTTTACAAATTGGCTTGTAATTCCAATATGAACTTCCAAACTTCGCAACGAACTTGCGAACTTCGCAACAAATTTCTGAACATTTGTGGACAAGTATTGTGTGAAAGAGTTGCCGGCACTTAGGATATTATACTATGTAATGATGTAATCTTATCTATCTGAAGATGGAGTAAATCTCTGAAACGTTGTTTGTTGATGTAACAAACACATTAAAAAAAGTCTTACAGAGGTCTATACATTGAACACAAAATACAATATTATCGCTAGATAGCAAAGTCAGGTTAACTTTATGCACATTTTTAAGTGTTTTTAACACATTTTGTGAATACATATATTCGCTGGGCTGCCCATGGTGTAGCTGAATTTTAGGGATTTACAGCATGAAATTGTACAAACGTCATTAGAATTCAAACAAACGGGACGTATTACATAATGAATAATAACAGTTGCATGATTCAAACGATTCAATTTTGTTGGCGAAACGGCATGATAACTTCTGAAATGTTACATTTGAAACGTGAAATTTTTTGCACACTTCAAGCTTGAATGCAAATGGCAATATATGGGCGGGACCTACTGTTACCTATACAAACATGTATAAAAACAAGGGTATAAAAATAACAAGATGACTATACAGCCAGCAGCCGGCTATTTACTTAGTAAACTGCCAGCTATATAGTGACTATAGTTAAAGTTGAATTTTTATAAGATATTAAAACCAATCCCAACCCCAAACCCTTCTCTAACCCCTGACCTTCTGATAGTTACAAAAGATTTGAAGAAAAAATACTAAGTCAGACAAAACCAACCCAATCCAGACTGCGTTTGACTTTCCGCACACAGCGCCTTTGGCAAGCTCAGTAAAAGCTAGTGCAAACAAAAGCTTTTTATATTTTATAGTCACTATATAGCCGGCATTTACTATATTTTAGGCCATGGGAATGAAAGTCATAGATTTGCGTCCGGATAATTTTGAAAAAAACATGCGTTTTTTTTTCATTATTCATTATTCATTATTTTTTTACCATCCTTTTGGGTGGTAAATACAGAGATCAAAACACGAATTACCGTTTACGCCACGGAATTACATATATCTCGAGCTCACGCAGTTGCAGTACTGAAGATCTGTGTGCCAATTTCGCCATTTCGGTGAATATAATTTGGAATTTCATAGAATGTGGATACTGAGGACAAACACACTGCAATATGTTCATTTTATTGTAATGCATCAGTCAATTCTAGCATTGCCCATCCCCCCCCGGGCAACCCCCGGGCATTTGCACTTTTTTTTGCCCGGTGGCCGGGCATTGGTACTTGCAAAGTTGTCCCGGGGGCGGGGAATTGTTTACCGGCCGGGCATTTGACACGACCGGACGTTTCTGCGACGAACACGTGCTATTATATTAAAATGGCGTCGAAGAATTCAAGGGTAAAAACGAGGATTTTTTTGATATTTTCATTCACAAAACGTCACACCAATTGCACATGAGAAACTAATTAAAGTTGTGTTTAACTATCTAGCATAAAAACACTAGAATTCATAGCACAATCCTTGTTTATCTTGCTACGCCTACGTTATTGTATATTAACCACTGAACCGACGAGCACGTTTTTCATGTTCAAAAGTTGGGATGACTGCTGTAGCTTTTATACAAGGAAGCTAATACTGTAAATGGAAGTTTTGAGGTCTAAAATACATTCTATAAATGAGTCAGTGGCCCGGGGGCCGGGCATTTGTCTTTTTTTTTTTTGCCCGGGGGCGGGGCATTGCCACACTTTTCCTGCCCGACCCCTGGGAATTGTCAACTTAAAGAAAAAAAAAGTGCAAATGCCCGGGGGGGGGGGATGGGCAATGCTAGAATTGACTGATGCATAATCAATACACAATTTTATTGCTAATTTTATTGAGTTTTGCTTTATTTGTGAAAATAATGAATTTTTTTGTAAATAATGAAAATTTTAGGCGGTAGCTTTTGAGGCATGCGGGCGGTGGACGCAAATCTATGACTTTCATTCCCATGGCCTAAATAGCCACTTTGTAAAAATGGTGGCAAACATGTACTTTGAAACATAAACAAACGTTGAAAAACGTTTGCAGTTGACGGTTGCTTGCAAATAGTAGAAAAACATACCATGACATGCTCCATAATTTTTTGACAACTACCAACCAAAGCTTGTCTTGCCAAAGCACATGGCTGACATGGCAGAATAATAAAATATCCTCTCTCGTTATTTCACAAATACCAATGTTATACCATTAATAAATCCAACACTTAGATAGTCCTCTTCCGAAAAACACTTTGTATTCCATCAAATTCCATCAATTTTAAAAACTACAAGTATTTTAAATGTGTATTTTTTATATAAAATATAAAATATTAGAAAATTTTGGAAGAAATGAGCCTTTTGTCATCATGTTGCGAGCGGTTTAACCCCTGGATCACTTCATGTAGTAATAATATAATGGTTCGATAGGATCAAATTAACCAGCTGAAATTAGGGAATGGTGGCCGGGTAGCCTACCTCTAATTAGTTGTCCTCATATCAGTGTCGGATTAACCATATGGCAGAAGCGGTATATATCACGGGCTCTGCCTCATATTGCCAAGCAATGCTCATAAAGTACTGTATAGACCGTATTAGCAAGTTTTAGAAAACGTACACGACCGCTCTCGAAACTAAGGAGCTACTAGCTATAAAAATAATCACCTTATTTTCTTAGTGTTTAGTGATATCCACTATATATTCCTTCCTAAAAGCAGTAGTGACACCCCCCACCCCCTCTCACGAAGCATCCTGTAACATGTAATTTACCGACTGTAGAATCCAGACGTCCTCGGAGATCTTATAATAACACTAACAGCCAGTATGCTGTGTACACAATATGGGGAGTGCTCAAATGTCCAGCTCTAAGCACCCTTGTCCATACTGGTAAGTGTTATGGAATAGCTATTGTAAAGACTGGTTTCAACTATCAAAGTTGCTGTGATCACAGTAGGAATATTGCATCGGTAATTTCTAAGTTCTGCAGTGGCGGCGCCAGGCCTCAGAATTTGGGGGGGCATTTGAGGGGCAAACTCATATTTTGGGGGGCAAGATAGAATTTTTAAAAATGTACTGCTATTTGCCCATGCCGTTGTCACAGGACTTTTGTCCCCCCCCCCCCCCC